CCAATGTCATCTATAAGATCCCCTGCAGAGACTGTGAGAAACATTACATCAGACAAACAGGAAGGAAACTAACAACAAGGGTACACGAACACCAACTGGCTACAAAAAGACACGACCAATATTCACTCATCTCAATCCACATGGATAAGGAGAACCACCAATTTGACTGGGACAACACCAAAATCCTGGGACAGGCTAAGCAGAGACAGGCACGGGAATTCCTAGAAGCCTGGTGCTCCACGAAGAAAGCCATTAATAAACACATAGAACTCGACCCCATAGACACTCCACGACTAAGGAAAACCGGAAGTGAGGCAATCCAGCTCAATGGACTCCAGAGTTTAAAAACCAGGCGGGAAAACACACCAGCGCTTCATCGAAGGCTGCACTGATGATGTTACCCAGCATGGTAACTAAACGTCTGCAGAGCAGCAAACCAGCTCGGCGAGCCAAACCAACCTCAACACCCACACGCCAAGCTACAAATCTACTCCAAAACTTGGTCAAAGTCTGTGTGTATATGTGTGTGTGTGCGCGTGTGTGCGTGTGTGTGTGTGGTTTGCACGACCTCCTCAGATATTGTGTTCCATAAGGAATGACATGAGACAATGGTCCACAGAAATGCTTCAAATTCAAAAATGCATTTAATTATCAGAACTTGTCAATGGCTTATGGTACTAAATGGACAGATAAAGGTGCAGAAACACGCCTTAAGAATTATTGAGAACACTGAATCTATAAGACGGTGGCATTAAAGAAGACTGCCTTGGGCAATGAAACAGGCCAGTCACAATTATAAGTTTAATCAAATTGTGGCACTTCTCCCTCTCTAGTCTGTAAAACAGGAAACTTCAATTTGAATTGCATAACAGTTGCTGGTCAAGGCCTTTAGAATTAAAACCAGGATTAAAAAATGAATATTTGAATCCTGGTTTTAAACCTCAATCCTGGCTCTGAGAACAGGACTGGTAAAATAAAGTCTGCAGTCTGTGCTGAGGTTACAGTGTGAAATGAGCTTTAAGACAGTTTCATTTGGATTAGAGCATGCTGCAAAAATTGTAAATAATTCAGCACAAACTGTTAACGGAATTGGCAACTTCAATACAACATTATGACAGTGGCTGTGGGCAAATGTAGATGTGAAAATTATCCTACAAGGTGTGTTTGAAATTATACTTCAGGCAAAATTCAATGTGGAATGAAGCCACATGGAGCATAAGCTGTGTGATTCAATATTTGCTGTGTACAGTGAAAAGTTTTACAATGGCTGCCTTTAATGGCGCCATCTTAAGTACAAGTTTGGGGGTATACTCATTGGAGTTTAGAAGAATGAGAGGGGACCTGCCATTCTTGGATAAGAAAGAGGAATAAAAGGAAAAGTAGAAGCATTATTTACAGTGTCTAAAAAATAAGTTAGAAGCAAGATAGTTATAATATAGTTAAAGGATTGACGTTATAGTCCAGTAAAGAATTTCAAATAGCAGCAGCTGAGCACGTGGTTTGACAGCCTGCACCAGACCCCAGCCCAACAACTGTCCTGCTGTGTTCCAAAACTCCAATCCGCTCTGCACTGGCACTCAGCTGCAGCAAGGTAAGTTGCTCTGGGACTCACTTCCTCTCGTGCTGCTCCAGGACTCGGGTTTCCCCTTGTGCTGCTCTGGGACTCGAGTTTTCCTGCTTCCCCGCATGCTGTCCCAGGACTGCTAAACCAAGAGGGAAAAAAAAGAAAAATGAAAAGAATAGGCAGAGCAGAGGAGCAGCGGGTGGAGCGACCTACACTGCAGCAATCTTTGTAGCTAATGTTTATTGGAGAGAGATTAATGCCGGCAAATTAGTGAAGAGGATCCAGTCAGAGTCCCTAGGCTAAAACAGCATCCCAGCAATTCCCCTCAACCTGTATGAATAAGATTGTGGTGTTCTCTGTTCCATCATTGATGCTGCTTAATGTCTGAGACCCAGATATGTGGTAAATGCCCAAGTAGGCAAGGCACAGGAGTTACCACGTGAAGGATGAGTCTCCAATGGAAATTTTTAAACCTACACCAGTATTCCCGTGGATCACAAGGGTGCTGTGTTTCTGTTTACCAGATGCATAACACCAATCTGGAGAGCATCTTTCAAGGAAGACTATAAGATGTAGGAGGCAATGGCTTAGTGGTATTATCGCTAGAATATTAATCCAGAAGGCAGTTAATGTTCCAAGAAACCAGGTTTGAATCTCATCATGACAGATGGTAGAATTTGAATTCATTAAAAAGAAATCTGGAATTATGGGTCTAATAATGATATGTACCATTGTCAAAAAATCTCATCGAGTTCAGTAATGTCCTTTAGGGAAGGAAACTGCCATCCTTACTACATGTGACTGTCGACCCACAACAATGTGGTTGAATTTTAACTTCTCTCTGGGCAATTAGGGATGGGCAATAAATGCAGACCTAGCCAGTGACACCCAGATCGTGTGAATGAATAAAAAGGTACGCATTCAGCTCACTGAGACTGCTCCGCCATTCCATGAGATCATTGCTAATCTGATAATCTTCAACTCCACTTTCCTGCCTTTTCCTTGTTTCCTTACTGCTTCAAACTCTGCCTATCCCAGTCTCTACTACTTTCTTTGGCAGTGGTTTTCAACCATTGTACCGCAACAAGGTGCAAAGTATGCCACAAAATGTTTGGGAAGCAGCACTGTTTTATCTGAGCATTGAGGCGGCATCCGTGCTTCCGATCTCCTCTGGAGCCTCAGTGTCTATTATTGAAGGCGGTATCTGCTGATGCCTGGCATCCCTATTGACTGTGCATGCGCAAGCCTCACTTTTGTAGGCTTCCAATAACATGTACGCAGCTAGGCCCAGGTTTCCCACTAACCTGGTACGTTACAATTTACTATACGTTTCGCTGTGATCCATTGTTTATGAATAGTTGGAAACAGTCAGGTTGAGCAGTTTTTGTATATATGTCTGTGCTTGCAGGAAATTCCTCCTCCACTCTGTTTTAAATTGGTAACTGCTTATTCTAAGATTCTGATCCTAGACTCTCCCGCAAGGGGAAAGAATCTTTCTGCATCTACCCTGTAAATCCCCCAAAGAATCTTGTATGTTTCAATTTGGTCACCTCTTATTCTTCTGAACCCCAATGGATATACCCCCAAACTATTCAACCTCCCCTCATAAGACAGTCCCTCCATACCCAGTATCAGCCGAGTGGATCTTCTCTGGATTGCTCCAATGCCATTATATCTTTCCTTAGAGAAGAGAAGGGGCCCAAAACTGTTCACAGTATTCTATCTATAGTCTAACCAGTGCCTTTTATATTTTTAGCAAGGTCTTCCTATTTTTATGCTCCATTCCCTTTGAAATAAAGGTCAATATCAATTTGCCTACCCTATTACCAGCTGATCTTGTTTCCTAGCTTTTTGTGATTGATATATAAAGATTCCCAAATCCGTCTGTGCTTTAGCTTTCTTCAGTCTTTATTTAATTAATATTCAACTCCTCTATTCTTCCTGCCAAAGTGCATAACCTCATATTTTTCTGCACTATATTCCACCTGTCAAGTATTTTGCATAACCTGTTTATATCCCTCTGCAGACTCTTAAAATCATCCTCACTGCTTGTGTTCCCACTTAGTTTTGTGTCATCCGTAAACTTGGCTATAGTACATTTGCCTTCCTGCTCCAAGTTGTGGACCCAGCACTGGTCCCTGTGATATGCCACTGATTACAGGTTGCAATCCTGAAAATGTCCCCCTTATCCCAACTCTCTGTCTTCTATTAGTTAGCCAAACCTCTGTTCATTGCTCACATACTACCTCCAACATAATAAGCTCTTGTTAAGTAGCTTAACGTGTCGTTCCTTGTCAAAGTATTATGTATTTCTAAATGCTCTGTTGTGACACCCATTGTAATAGATTGTAACAATGACAAACTTTGAGCTAACTGTCCTAGTTACCTGTTTGTTTTATGTCTCCTTCTGTTTTTAAATAAAGCTGTTACATTGGTCATTTTTGTATCCTCTGAGACTTTTCCAGAATCTAAGGGTTCTTGGAAGATTACAACATGTATCCACTATATTTGTAACTCCTTCTTGTAATCAGGTCCAGAAGACGTACCCATCTTTGGCCCTGTTAATTTCCCCAACATTTTTTATCTAGTGATAGTTATTATATTTATTTTGTCTCCTCCTCTTGCCCTTGATTATATAGGAAGCAGTGGAATAGTTTAAGGACAAAGCTGTACTATCATCCAACCTGGCATTATTAACTGTAGCATTACAAGACTATGATTTCAACACCTAAAATCTTCCAGTTAAGAGTATATATGTATACACTAGTGATGAAGATAAAATGATTTCAATAAGACAGGGATGGTATCAGAGATTTGGGAAATCTTGGCTACTTTTCAATAAACATTTTAATATGAGATCAGGAGTAGGGTGCCTGGGCTGATGCAGTTATATGCTGATCATAGATTCATGTTTCAATCTGGTCCACATGAAGAATGCATGCAAAAACCTAAGCATCCCGCCCACCTGCCTCTGCCTGCCTGCCTTTTCAAACACCACCTGCGACAGGGTGTATTGATCTAGCATTGGACTATTTAGTCATCCCGGGACCCACCACCCTGAAGTAGAGAAAAGTCAACCTTGGTCTCGATGGACTTACCTCAGAAAGAGAATATCTGCTGGTGCTCATCAAAAGCAACCTGAAATGAGAGAATATATTCTATTCCTCTATAGTGACGTCCTTGTACTAAAGTTTTATGGCAACATAAAACAGATTTCTGTTAATCCCAAATGTTTTTGGCCAATTAAGTTTACAGGAGTATTACACAACATCAGAAATTCTCATGTTCAGGATGTCAGCTGTCCAGAATTAGGAAGACATCCCTTTCAGGCCACTAATGTGCCTCACTTTAATGAGCTTCAAACTGACCAACACTTTTGTAAGAGGCATTTGTGAGGAGTGGGTTGAGTTAATTATTCTTCATTTCTCTCATGCAGAAATTGGTCCTGTTACTGTCACCTCGGATTCAAAGAGATTTCAGAGTGAACTCCGGGATCTGTATGTACAGGTTAGTGCTGAGCATGCCTGGACCATCACTTTTGAACTCTGATCCTACTGAAGAGATAGCATTAATACAGCGGCAGTTTACGAGATTGGATTGATCCAACAATGAGATTTTGTAGTTAATTGGATTTTCAATGGACCAGTACAGCATCTTGAATTGTATTGCTGGCAATTATGAAAAGTGAACAATGGTGAAATCAGTGAGAGCATGATAATGAATTAAAGGGAGAATTTACATTAATTTGGTGTAGAGATAGTACGAACTGCAGATGCTGGAGAATCTGAGATAACAAGGTGTAGAGCTGGATGAACACAGCAGGCCAAGCAGCATCAGAGGAGCAGGAAAGCTGACGTTTTGGGTCTGGACCCTTCTTCAGAAATGGGAGAGGGGAAGGGGATTCTGAAATAAATAGGGAGAGAGGGGGAGGCGGATAGAAGATGGATAAAGGAGAAGATAGGTGGAGAGGAGACAACAGGTCAAAGAGATGGGGGTGGAGCCAGTAAAGGTGAGTGTAGTGGGCTGTTAGTGGGGGATAGGTCAGTCCAGGGAGGACGGACAGGTCAAGGGGGCGGGATGAGGCTGGTAGATAGGAGATGGGGGTGGGGCCTGAGGTGGGAGGAGGGGATAGATGGGAGGAAGGACAGGTTAGGGAGGCGGGGACAAGCTGGGCTGGTTTTGGGATGTGGTTGGGTGAGGGGAGATTTTGAAGCTTGTGAAGTCCACATTGATACAGTTGGGCTGCAGGGTTCCCAAGTGAAATATGAGTTGCTGTTCTTGCAACCTTCGGGTGGCATCGTTGTGGCACTGCAGGAGGCCCAGGATGGACATGTCATCTAGGGAGTGGGAGGGGGAGTTGAAATGGTTCACAACTGGGAGGTGCAGTTGTTTGTTGTGAACCGAGCGTAGGTGTTCCACAAAGTGGTCCCCAATCGTCCGCTTGCTTTCCCCGGTGTAGAGGAGGCCACATCGGGAACAGCGGATACAGTATACCACATTAGCAGATGTGCAGGTGAATATCTGTTTGATGTGGAAGGTCTTCTTGGGGCCTGGGATGGGGGTAAGGGGGGAGGTGTAGGGGCAAGTGTAGTACTTCCTGTGGTTGCAGGGAAAAGTGCCGGGGGTGGTGGGGCTGGTGGGGCTGGTGGGGAGTGTGGAGCGGACGAGGGAGTCACGGAGAGAGTGGTCCCTCCGGAAAGCAGATAAGGGTGGGAAAGGAAAAATGTCTTTGGTAGTGGGGTCAGATTGCAGATGGCGGAAGTGTCGGAGGATGATGTGTTGGATCCAGAGGTTGGTGGGGTGATACGTGAGGACGAGGGGGATCCTGTTTTGGTTGTTATTGCAGGGAGGGGGTGTGAGGGATGAGTTGCGGGAAATGCGGGCGATGCGGTTGAGGGCGTTTTCGACCACTGTTGGGGGGGAAGTTGCGGTCCTTGAAAAACGAGGACATCTGGGATGTCCGGGAGTGGAATGCCTCACCCCGGGAGCAGATGCGGTGGAGGCGAAGGAATTGGGAATAGGGGATGGCATTTTTGCAGGAAGGTGGGTGGGAGGAGGTGTATTCCAGGTAGCTGTGGGAGTCGGTAGGCTTGAAATGGATATCGGTTTCCAGGTGGATGAACTGTTCGAGCTCCTCGTGGGAGCACGAGGCGGCGCCGATACAGTCATCGATGTAACGGAGGAAGAGATGGGGAATAGGGCCAGTGTAGCTTAATTTGGTGTTTTCCTTAACCTCGGGATGCCCCAAAGCAACTGTTGAAATGTAGTCACAATTGTAAGGTCAGGAGAAATGCATAATCAAATTAAACCTCGTGCCTTTTACTCCTGACGTGTAGTATTCCGGTGAAGCAAACATCTTCCCGTCCACTCTCTTGATGTAGAATTTCAACAGTGCAAAACCTTCCTGGCATAAGTAGATCCACTATTTCATTATTGCAGTTTTTAAGAGTCCCAAAGTGCAGGTTCAAAACTCAGAAGAACCTCTTTAGGTCTTCATTGAACTAAGGTAGAGGATGGTCTAGATGTTCATATGCAAGTTCTACAAGTAGCCACTAGCAAAGCACAATTAACATCGAAGCAAAAGTGATGACATTTATTCACAGATCCTTCCCACTGCACAATCCCACTAGATCAACCTATACTACACTACTTCATCAAAGTCTCACTAGGAAACCAGTATAAGTAATCAGAAGGGACTGTGCCACTGATAAGGCTAGGGTGAAAAAAAACCCTTTGACAGATCCAAAATTGTGGTAGTGTGTTTGTGAACTAGCTCAGTGGTTTGGGATTGTTGCCTGAGAAATTTTTTGAGAAGTGATCATCTCGTTACTGCAATTAAAGCCCAAACGTTGCTCATATTTTAGCCTAATTAAACAGATGTGAAATTCAGTTACACAAAATGAACCAGAATGTGCCATTTTGATAATAATTGTCCTGAATGATGATGGCTCCCAGACGATTGCCTGACCTTCTAGGGCAGTATTTGAAGTATGCAGAGTTCACTTCCCACAGCCTTTATTTGAATGATCATGGACAGTCACATTGGTTTCAAATTCCTAATGTGCAGTTAGATAATTTCGCTTTTAGAGAAAGAAATTAATTAAGAGGATTTTTTCCTCCCAGTTATACACAAATTATTCCGTTGAGACTGATTCAGGGTTTTATCCGGGTATGTCATAACCTACCTTTGTACTCTATATTCTATGTAGTCAGTTGCTGATTGATCTGTTGTGCAATATTAGCATTTTCTGGTTTTACTTTTGATGACCAACAATTGCAGTTTTTCAGGAATGTGAGTGCATTCTTGGATTTGAACTTATTTTTGTCTTGTTGGGAATTAAGCTTTGGCTTCTTTCTGCTATGACATTGATCTCGAATTTGCATTTTTAAAGAATTTTATTTGGCTTTGCAGTGTATTCAACATAAAGGTTTTTTTGAAGTGAAGTGCTATCTACCTGTAGAGTGCGTGTGCCGCATGGGGGAGGTCACATGACTCCAGTAGACCATGCACATGATTGTACTTTTGTACATGATTGCAGTTCAAACAAAACATCCCCTTTTTCATGCAAAAGAGAGAAAAGCCCGGATTATCATTTATATTTAGTGGCACCCAAATTAGCAAATATATACAATTGACCTCACGCCTTAGCAATTAATTATTCCCATCAGCCTATATATATGCATTGCACACGGATTTGTTGAATCATGATGGTCTCTTGATGATATGTGTGCATGTTGTTATTATTGGCTGTGCAACTGGGTGCTGTTTCCCGATGGAGTACCATTTCTGTGTAATTTGTTTCTTTTCACTGTGGTCATTGTTCCATGTCTGTTTTTGGGTTGTTGTGGACCCCTGGATGTGATGGTTTATCAGTTATTTGACCTTTACTTAGGAATTCTACATAGCACATGTTATTCCACTTCTCAGCATTTCAAAGCTTGACAGATGCTTCTCTCTTGCATTAGTGGTGGATGTGAAATATTTAGAAGCCACTTAGATAAGTACAAGAATAGGAAAGGTTTGGAGAGATATGGACCAGGAGCAGGCGGGTTAGTTTAGTTTGGGATTATGTTTGGCATGGACTGGTTGGACCAAATGGTCTGTTTCGGTGCTTTGTGGCTCTATGACTTCCCAGCCCAAAATGAAAATGAACATCAGAGTGTAGAAAGTCCTTTCCCTAAGCCCTCTGGGCAGTTCCATAGGAATTCTGGGTAATTTCCTCATTCTTGGAACTATGGACATTATTTTTTTTCCAAAGCTAGCTGAGTAAAAGACGTTATATATTGATCAATGGAATCATTTTCACTTTGATCCACAATATTAAATTTGTATCAAATAAAAACTGAAAGAACTGATGTGGAAATCAGAAACAAAAACAGAAATTGCTGGGAAAGCTCAGCAAATCTGGCAGCATCTCTGACAAGAAATCAGAGTTAATATTTTGGGTTCGGTGACCCTTCCTCAGAACATTCATGCATAACAGTCACTTGGGGCTCAAAGTGTGCTTTTAAAGCTTTTAAAATTTCTGCCATACGGTTTTCTGCTGTTCAGAGAGATTTAGAGTTGAATATATTCAGAAAGAGTCTCTTACCAACAGTGATACAAGTGTAGTGGCATGTAACTGGAACAAAAACAAAGTTGCTGGAAAAGCTCAGCAGGTCTGGCAGCATCTGTGAAGGAAAGAACAGAGTTAACGTTTCGGGTCTGGTGACCCTTCTTCAGAACTGATGGTGGCTGAGAAAACATCAGTTTATATGCAGAAAAAAGGGGATGGGGATGGGGTAGGGAGTAAATGATAGGATAGAGCCTAAAGAGAGAGAAGAACAGTTGGACAGACAAAGAGTTGATAATGAGCAGGCTGGGATGGTGAATAGTTGTTAATGGGGACTATTAGTGACTAATAACAGGAAGTGTGTAATGGCAGGCTATGTGGTAACAAGGCCTCGTATGTGGGGGTATGGGGCTGGGATACGGGAGAGTTTAGGCCCTAAAATTATTGAACTCGATATTGAGTCCAGAGGGCTGCAGGTGTTGTTTTTCTAGCTTGTGTTGAGCTTCGCTAGAAAACTGTAGCAAGCCAGAGACAGACATGTTAGTCAGGGAACAGGGAACAGTGGCATGTAACTGTTCTGAATTGCTCCACAAATCCATTGCTATTTCATAATTTGGCCATTCTACATGAAAGAAATTTCAGTTTTGCTTCTGTAGTGATTGTAACGAGGTTTGCCAGGTGATCATCATAGAATATAAGTTCCCTGATTGGGGCTGTTAATCTGGTCCAAACAGGGCGCCCTGGCTGACAGGGTTGGGCATGTGGCGCACAGTATTGTGTCTGACTCCAGATGAAAAGATTGTGTGTTCAAATCACATAAGGCAGAGAAAGTTCAACCTCATCTCAAGTTTTATATCATTAGAATCTCTTCTGGGGTAGAAGGATGTATAACAAGGATGGATTGCACCTGAATTGGGAGCGGACCAATATGCTGGCAGGGAGATTTGCTAGTGC